TTACCACATAGCTGGTGTGTTGATTTTCCAGTTGTCTTTATTGCATTCAATTCAATAGGAATATGATTGCAGTGTTGTAAGATAAATGGTATCACTGGTGAAGTCCAAGGAGTTCTCTCCCCCCCCCTCCCTCTTCCTCTCCCTCTCTCTCTCACTCACACACACACACGTCTTCAAGTCAGAAATATTTGTCCACATGCACAGACGCACCAATAAATATATAAACTTGTCAAGTGGCCATTCAGTCTCTCTCAGCTTAAAGAAGCAAGACAATGGCAAGATTTCAGAAGTAGTTTGCCCCTGATTGCTTCCTAGAGCTGAACGAGAGTGACTGTCCCATTAGCAAGAAGTTGCCAACATGTTTTATTAATTCCTTCACACAAATGTTCTGGGAGAAAATCAACAGATGAATTCTTTGAATTATTATTATTTTGCTTCCTGGCCCTCTTCCTTCTACTTAATACTTAGAAAATTTAAATGCTTCCGAAAAAAATTATAATCAGTTTCATTGACGTAATAGTTACTGTTACAGGTGTTAGAGGAGATCTAACATTAGACACCTAATAATTGGATTCACTTGTGAAACCCAAAAATAACTCCAATGTTCCAGGCAGTTGATTTCTATTTTAAAATTCACTAAAATATGCATTATGTTTGACTATAGCCCTAATTGTGCACCAGCAACTTTTCCTGAATGTTGACCTTCCATAGGAAACATATATAATTAGGTGGTACTAAGTTGGGTATGTGGTTTTAAATTACAAATGACTCCCTTGAGTTTTACTAGGATTTTAAGTAGATACAACTATGTTGTTTTCTTGTCAATGGTTTGCCTCTAACTTTTTCCCAGTCAAGCTTATAGCCATTGGATATGCTAGTAATTGCTCAAGCACTAGCCTGGTCTAAACGTGCATGTTTTTTTAAATCAGCCAAAATTTGATAAATGCTGCTGAATTCTGTAAAAATTGAACTTTATTTTTAAATATCTCATCAAACTTTGATATTAAAGTTATACCTTGGCTAACAATGGCAACTGGGACTGGAATTGCTAAGTGATGCAGTCATAAAGCACAGTATAATCATGTGACCATGCTACTTGGCAACAGCAGTTCTGGCAGACCTGGTTCCTGTCATTTGTAAGGACTGTACTAGTCATTAAGCAAGGACCTCACATGACCACAACTTACCAGTTCTTGCCACCTTCCCCATTGACTGCTTCTGAGAAGCCAGCAGGGAGGGTCATAATTACCACTCATTCATCACTACCACAAATTTCAGGAGTTGCTGAACAAATGGATGTAAGCCAAGGGCTATCCTTATAGGCTCACCAAAATGTGTACTCAATCCCCTAAATTGTTTCAGAAAATTATATATTCAAATATCTCAATAGTAATTAATATTCCCTAGCTTTCAGCTGATAAATCCTTCATGAAAATTTAGGCATCTAGAAAAAGTATGTTTGAGTTACATTGATAAGTCATCTTGATTTGCCAATTTCCAAGAAGCTGCTGTTACAAAGTCATTTAATCAAAGAGGATAAAAGTTGCAAGCACAAAATTAAAAGAACTTAGAATAATTTGGCTTATTTGTATGTGAAGGGAACTGACATATTCTTTGATTACTATAATGTTGGTACATCTGACTCAGCCACATCATATTTGCCACCTGCTTTCTCAATAAGTCTTAAAGAGAAGCAGAAGATGCAATTTGGAAATAGAGTAACTATTTGAAATGGAGTCTATTTCAACCCTTTTTCAACTCCAAATTAAATAAATGCTCTAAAACCAATATCAAATAAAGTATATTTGTCACTCACATCATCTGTACTTCATGAGTCAGAAGTCCTATAACTTCCTGGAAAAGCATGATCATTAGCACATATTGATAAATACAAATATTATATTCTGAAACAACCGAGATGCGACAGGGTTGGTATTCTTGGCTGCTATGCTAGAACTCAGAAGTTGGTGCCAAGGAAAAGATAAGGACTCCCAGTGATTAAGTTTTTAAGCTTCTGGTCTGCTGCTATTAAGATTCCTTGCCTGGTCTCCATAGCAATAACTGGTGAGCATCAACAACTGTTCAAAGCAGAAAGGCCAATCCATTGGAGGTAGGGGATGGATTTGCCATCAATTTCATGACAGTAAGGATAAAGTGATTAACACCAGCTAATTCCTTTATAATCAAAATGAGCCATTTAGAAACTATGTTCAAGTTTCATTATGGATGGGAAAAGAACAAATAGGTGAGAATGACAGAACTGGGGAAAGAAGCAAATATTTTAATATCACTTGGATTTCTATTCATTTTGCAAACATTTTTTTCATCATTTTGCCCTTTTTTAAACATATTTAAATGAATTGTTTTAATTTTGGAGATAAGTATTTAGATTCAGAATCTTTATTTCTGTCAGGATAGTGTTCATCAAGAACATAACTGAATGGGCACTATTAGAAAAGTACCAAGATAATTGAGGTCTGCCTCTACTTTAGATATAAAACATTCTGTTCAGTCATCCATTGTAAGTTTTAGATATATAGACCAGAATCCATAGAACTACACAGCTAATTCTTTTACCACAAGGATTTTGTTTTTGGATCATAACTCCATTTTGCCAATGGCATATGACAAATTACTTTGTAGTTAAGATTCTTCAAAAGATAATTATAATATGAGGATTTGTCATTCAAAATAAAAATGTACAAAACTCATGATACCTGTGTTCTTAAATACATGTAAATTACTCCCTAGATTTAAATATAGAGATATCAGAGGAGTAAATAGAAATAATCATATATTTATCATATTTCTTCTTGTTCAGTTATATTGATATGAAACTCTTGCACTTTATGGGGGGGCAGTATTACTCTCATGTATCCATTTGGGTGGGGTTTTTCCCCAGATATGGTCAATAAGTGTGGCAAAACCATGGATTACTTCTGCAGTGCAAATAAATGTTCCCTTTTTCCCAAAGTCAAAATAGGGTTTCTAAGATTTTATTTTTAAAAAATCAAGTCTTAAATTGTCCCGAGGTAAAAGTTCCCTAAAATCAACACAGGAAATGAATTTAAATATGGTATCTCCATCATAGTGGAAAATATTTTTAAGAATAAATGTAGCTGAAAAACAGGACGTGAATATTCTCATTTTCCTAATTAGAAGGAAGAAAAATATAATGAACTAGAAGAAATTGAAAAAAAATTATCCTACCTCTGTTGTGGCTTTTAAAACGTGATCATTTTTAATGAAGCAACCCTTTTCCAATAAAACCTCAAAGAAATTAATTCATTCAGAAATAATGTTGATTTAAAGAGATAATCCTGATGCTGCAGAAAGGGAATAATACCATTCAGTGTTGAAATGGACTTGGAAGTCCAAACTTTCAAAATTTACATGCACATTATTTTTTAAAGCAAGGTGGACAAGGGGTGGCTGTGGATCCTAGTATGCTGGAAACATTATCTTTCCTACTTTCAGATTCTTTCCCCCATTTTGTAAAAGACCCTTTGAATGTAAATAACTAACCATAGGAAGCTAACAGCACAAAGTAAAGATCCAGCCACTAACATCAACTTATTTCATCAGAAATCCTCTGAGTCCCTTTCTTAGAAAACTGGGTGTAGTCGCAGCAAAAGCCTCACCGACCTTCTCAAGGAAAAAAAAAAGTAGTGGGAAGGATCCTGCATTGCTAGGGACAATAACAAAGCAACTTTGCCAAATTGACATCTGGTAAATGGATGTTTTGTGATCAGCCACGTTACTGTGGAAATCCTTTTGTGAAAACTCCAGTGACAAGCTTCAAAAATTCTAAACCCAAATAGGTTTCTTATCCCTACTTTAAAGGGTACTTCTGTACTGAAGAGCCCATACATTTCTCTTTGGCATTCACTTATTTAACAGTTCAAAATCCTTTCTCCTTTGATATGTAATGTAAATCTACATATTCATTAATTCACTTCCATTTTCTGCTTAGTATAGGCTTCCCTATGTATGGTCTTTCAAATATGTTGGACTACAGCTTCCATCACCCAGTATGGACCTTAGCTAGGGACATTGTGAACATATAACTTCAGCACACCTAAATGGCACGAGATTAAAGGAAGAACACTTTAGAAATGCTCCATATGAAGGCTATGTATATTTCTGTTACAAGAAATGTCCATGAACAGCCTCATGGAAACATATTTTTAAAAGTTGCACGCTTATAAATGTTTATGTTTGCATTTTTTAAAACAATTGATTTATGCACACACCAGGCTCTTCACTCAACTTGATTTTAATTTAGATATTTTTAATTTAAAAATAATAATCAGAAGCTGGGGTGCTGCAAAACATACGTATCAGCCTCTAATAAGAATGCCCCTAGGCTTTGTGGGCATCCTTTAAAAGTCCTTAGGAAATAAGGATTGCTGGGTAGCTACAACAATACTGACTCTACCTGCTTAGAGGAAGGCTGGGTAATGGGGACCAATGGCTCCAGTTGGCTTTCCGATAAAGGGTATTTGGGGACCTATCTGGATTTATCATGGACCTCACTCCCAGATGCACCATTTTCTAAAAGTGCCCAAAAGCTTCCAAATGTACCTCTGAGGTTGTCCATCTTTTTGTAAACACTTGATCATTAAATTATAGAGTCATTAATAGCATTGTAAGAAACTCTTTGAGTTACTAGTTGATAACCATGCAACTAATTAGATGGAGGAAAAGTAGTCATACCACTTTGCCCTTTTCATAATCACACTTCCTCTGTAGTATTTGTAAACTGTTAATGTTAATTGCATCTACTCAAAATGTTGTAGCATCATGTGACATCCTGCACAGAGAATTCAGGTTCTATCTATATTCCACATGAAGTCAATGGCAAAATTCCCAGAAATATTCATTGTATTGCCGTGCAGTCTCAAGGCAATTAAGGATATTCCTTGATAATTCATGAGCAGCCATTACATCAACTCAGCAAAAGAAACAAATATACAAATTATTTATTTTTCACGGAAGGAAGTATGTTAAAATACATGTCATTAATCTTTAACTTGGGATCCGTTAGGCTTCTTTCTTGTTTTATTTGTGTTCCATTTTGCACAGGAACCTGGTATCTCCATTTGACATCACAATCTGTTAGGTTTTGTTTTGTTTTTTGTCATGAGCATGATGTCAAAAAGAAAGGCACTGATGTCACAGGCTCTCTAGTGCAATAACAAGGGATGAAAAGAAATGACAGGGCACCATGTTCCTCCTGTAACTTATTTAAATTAGAATAAAGGTGATATATTCACTGGAAGCACCAAATTAGTCTAACACTGGCAACTGCTACAATAGCCAGTGTGTGAATTCATGCTACCTAAGGACCAAGAAACACACTCACACAAGAAACATGGTTTCTCTTAACAACCAAGATACATATATGTTTTTCCAACACTTAAAAAACCCATATATTGGAGATTCAAAGTTGACTTGCTGTCTTGTTTCTTAATGCTAGCAAGGCATGTTGTGTTTCATTCACTATGAGATCCAAATCAAAATCTGGAAATAGGATGTAGAGAAGATGGGACATTAAATTCAAAAAAGAAGTCATTGATCAGAAAACATATTTTTTTGCTAAAAACAGAGGGAGGGGGAGAGATAAAGCTCAAGAAAAGCCCACAAAAGATCTACCATTTAATGTTGCAAGTTCATGAGAATGTAGGAAGTTCTCACAGGGGAGGGATGATTAATTTCAGAAAATGAGTGAAAACAACCCTCTTGGATGGAGAAAAGCATTGTGAAGAGCTAGTGAAGCTAAAAGTTAAAAGGATAATGCCCCACAGTGTAGACTTCCTGAAGTAGCTTAGTAGTTGTACTGGCGCTGGCATGGTTGGTAGACGAAGTGGCTTTGGGGTTTGGCCCGTTGTGGGCGGCACTCTCTGGCACGGTTCTGCCGCTTCATGACTTTCTGACTCAACTTGTGCTTCTCTGCCAACTGCTTTGCCCTCTGAATCCGACGCACTTGATTGACCTTCTCCAAGATGGCAGCCTTGGTAGCAAGAGAAGTGGAGTGGTGTGGGGGACGGCGCTGTAAACAGTTTTCAGGTATTTCGCTGCAGAAAAAAAAGGCATACAGAGTGAGCTGGACTCAGCACTTTTGATATGGTAACACCTACTTCAAAGGACAAAGGGCATATCATTTTCTCTAAATAGCAAAAGAGTGAGTCATAAAAAATTAATGTAAGCCACTCATCCACAAATGTGATAAGGAACATAAGCTACAACTCCCACAATCTACAACAAAATGCACAATAGCTGTATGTATGGACAATTCATGAAATGTCCCTTCCTCCTACTTTTTTTAGGGATAAAATTATGTAATTATGGATCTGTTCAGGCAGACAGTTCAGCTGTGCAATGAAAACCAAAGGAGAGGGAATGGGGACTGCTGATGGCCTTGTGCATCCAAGCAGCAGGGGGCATATTTGAGCATGTATCTGCTGTAATGTTCATTTACTGTCCTCCATAGGTAGCAAAATTCCTGGGCTACATGATTCCAGCAAGTAGGAATCATGATATAAACAACATTGATAAGAACTTCTCGCCTGTCTATATGCTTCTATTCACAGAGAGGAATCAAACACCCAAATAGGAATACTGTCATACTTGTAGGCATATCTGAAGCTCAGAAGTATGAATGATACTTTATGAAAGTTGAGAATATCTGAATATATATTTATTTTGCTATATCAAGGAGTCCATTTGGTGGAAAAAACATTTAACTGGGAGAGTGATATTCCAGCCAGCCTAATAAAATAGGAAGTGGTAGTCAAACCAGAACCAGCATTTGCAAAAATGAAATTCCTTAAGCATTCTTTTTAAAACAAATAATATAACCCTGTTCACATGTACTTTGAAATAAGTCCCACAGATTTCACAGAGCCTTCAAAAATGGGGGAGGGGGAGGACTATTTCCAAGTTGTTTCAATTCTTCCCTAACTATTTAGCTCCTCTCATTCACTTATCTGGGTAAATTTTATATAAGGTTAAATATATACATACAATATTCTGCCTGCAATGCTGGGAGATCTCAAAACACTGAGAACCCACTAGCTCAGGAAATATTGGGCTACAGTATATTTTTTCCTAGCTGTGAAATTTGTGAAGAGGAACACAGGAGGCTCTTTGTAAATGTCTGGAACTGAACTTACTTCTCCTGGATGTTCTCCTCAGGATCCTCTCTTTCCACAATGATGCTGGTGGTGGTGGTGACATATACAGACATGCTGGGATGCTCAATCAAGAGGTCCTCCATGGGGCTGCTCTCCATACTGACAGCATCAGGACCTTCTGCAGTAAAACAGGGGGGAGGGGTAACAAACCAACTCTCATCCATCAAGCAGGGGTCAGGCTGAGAGGGCATGGACCTGCTGACACAGTCACTGAGGGAGTGGGGTGAAGACGTGGTAGGTGGAAGGGACCCATGGCGGCAACGGGAAGCGCAAACAGAATCCTTCTCACCTACCCACTGCTCAGTACCAAGACTTGAAGCCAAACTATCTAATAAGAGATGGCAGCAATCACCGGCCACACAAAACGGGAACAGCCAGAACAGCAGCAACAATGACACAAACAAAATTCAAAAGAAACATCATAGTGCAAAGCCATTCAACAAGAATGCATGGCAGTGCAGGGTGCGTACAGGAAGGAAAACAGTGCACACATTCAATATATTCAAAGGATGGGAAGGAAGAGGAGAGAAAGGAGGGGCGTTATTAGTGAAAAAGATACCCCAATGGCATTGGTGTGACTCATCCTGAAGTCTTTCCTGATGGTTTAGGACTGACCCAAGATGTTTTACTATCCTGTGATGCCAATCCTCTGCATCACTTAAGACTGTAGCTGTGTGTCACTTGTGGCTTGCTTTCTGACATTCTTTGCCACATTGTCAGGTGTTCCAGTTGGTATAAATCTCTCTGTGTGTGGTATTTTATTTGTGGACATAAAATAGGTCTACTTCAGTTGCCTGTGTAAATATCCCAATAATGATCATGTTGCACAAAGGAGGAAGATGAATATCCTGAACCAAATCAGGCAGTAGATTATGCTACTGGGTTATTAAATAACCAAACAGACACAACAGTGAAAAGAATATTTGCAAATAAAAAGAATGCCTAACTTTCTCCCAAAGAGTAAAAATCAATTGCTGATGAACTGTAGATACTAATATCTTTAAATGTGTACCGTTCTAAATTCAAGGAGATAAGAGCAAGACTTTTTTTTTGAAAAAAGGAACAAAAAATGATTCCATAAGGAAATTTGGGAACAGGGAGGATGGTTTAAATTAGATAGGTGGCATCTCCAGCAGACAAGGATTTTTTCCCCCCTTCCTCAATAAAACATACCTTCTATCTTATTCTACTAAAATTGACCCAATCACCAGACTCTGGAAGAGAGATTTTTAAAAAAAATTAAAGCAACAATCCTATACATTTTTAGAGAGACCTATCAGCTTCAGCAGCATAATTTTAACAAATATTGCATCAAAATTTATCATATAATTGTCACTTGTTTGCAACTCCAGGAAGCAGTTCTGTCTTTTCTCGGGCTCACGTAGTAGCCTCATTGGCTTTACTTAACTCTTCCAGTTTCAGAGTGGGAAATGGGATTGTTTCAAAGAGTTGCATCAGGTGCTGTGTTTGTACGCCACATGCAGGGGTGGGTGGCTGGGGGCTCGCAAGAGTTCGGGCGAGCCCCTAGCTAAGTTTCTGTGCAATTTGGAGAACCCCCAAATCCCACCCCTGGCTGGCCTCACCCACCCCGCCCCTCCCAGTAGTCCCCACGCAGTCCATTTTGGATGCAGGTAAATGCAGAGTGCCTGTGGAGGCTCGGGGAGGGCAAAAAATGGGCCTCCCGGAAGTTCGGGAAGGCCAGAAATGGGCCTGTTTCCGACTTCCACAGAGCCTCTGGAGCCTGGGGAGGCCTTTTTCACCCTCCTGGAGGCTCGAAGAAAGCCTCCAGGGCCTGGGGAGGGCAAAAAGCACCCCCATGCCATGGTGCAGAAGGCTGATTAGGCCATGCCACCATGGTCACGCCCACCCAGCAACCGGGCAAAGAGCCCCTTGCTAAAAATTTTGAAGCCCAACCCTGGCCACATGTTTCAAAACACCTCTTTGGAATTAAATGTAAAGTATTCCACATTCCTTATTAAGCACGTAAACCTCAAATGCTAAAAGGTCTATCAAGCCGGATGATCACCAAGTTTGCATTGCAATGACCTGTTTCTCTCCCAGCTCCTGCATAATATCATTTGAAGTCTTTGTACAAGGACCAAAATGGCCTGACTATTCAAGACATCATCCTTCCCGCATATGAATTCATACCAAAAGCTGGGTTGGTGGCACCCTAGTTATGCAGCCAGACAATTTTTCTTCCGGTTGTATGTTACAGCAGAGAGCCTTTACATGGGAGATAGGAGTGGTGGTGGAAGGAGACAATGGCCTATTTTAGCCCAGAGACTGGGAAGAAAGATGAAACCTGTTTGTCACAGGCAGTTTATATAAGCGAAGAAAACCAAGCTGAATGGTATTTTTTAATAGGCGCCATAAAACTGATTTGAGAAACGGTGGTGAGGTTTGTTAATAAGGTTGCTTCTGAAAATCTACAGTACTAGAGAGCTCCCAATTCAGGCGGGGAGCGGAATTAGCCAAGAGTTCCCACAAAGAGGAAAGCAGGCCACGTCTAATCCTCCAGATTGTCTATTGTCGCAAACTGCATAACAGACCTTTTGCTATTTGAACGGTGCCACAGCTGAGCTGGAAGAAAATGTGTTTGGCTGTTAAGGAGGGTGATGTCATGGGAACATGGCAGCATGTTGCTATGTCAGAATTGATGTAAACATCACTTTGTGAAGAGCCCTCGGGAGTAGATTTTCAGGACACAAAAGGCAGCTGTGGTTGACAGAGATTTGGGACTGCGTCCCGCACTACATTTCTGCACAAAGCTAATGCACATAGTATTCATTCTTTATTGTATTTGCCTTTATGTTGCCAGTTTCTTCTCTATTGCAGTCATTCCCAATGTGATGTTCCGGACGTCTCAACCACCTAACTTAGAATACTAGTGTTGCAATGCCTTCTTCCTTGATTTGTTGGTTTCAAACATAAGGTATGGAAGTATCTTTGCTGACTCAGATCATTGCAGAAAATAGAATATTTTAAAAGCCTTATTTTCACAGGGCTTCTATTAGAATCAAATTGGACATTGGTATGGCTATCATTATCCAAGCACAGGGGCACAGCACTAAGGTTACACATGGAGACATTTGCTTTAGTTACTAGGACACTGTGGGCATCCCAAATCAAGTTTCTGGTTAGATCTACTGACATTTGGGGAGGGGATTATCTAAAGAAAAATGAAGTGGTCTCTTGTTTTGATCAAACAATAGAGCTCTTTCCCTGTGCTATTTTCCTAGTTCTGAATTGCCCTGCCTCAAAGCATCTCTAACTGCAGAAGGAAAAAAGCATTGGTTGCTGTAACAAGTCTTATTCTATCCTTCATAACAGGGAAGGAAAACTTGTTTCTTCCAAAAGGTAGCAGGAACTTCAAAACCACCCCAAAAGTACCAGTGGAATATAATGTGTTACTGTGATGAAGAGGGAAAACAACTAGGTGCATGTGGTGTAATAAGATTAACCTCACTGAATGAAAGTTTCCATTTAAATTATATCAACTTTTGTTTTTGTCTTTTTTTGGAGAAGTTTGCCCTCTAGTGCAGAGTTTACCAATCTTTCCAGCTTTGCGGACCGGCCAGCGGGTGGGGGAGTGGGGAATCGGATGGTTCTGCATGAGCGGCGGGTAAGCATGCGTATGCGCTCAGCTCCATTCATGCAGGCGGCGGGCACACAGACACACCGCTCATGCAAATGGAGTGTGCACACATGCACTTGTCCACTGCTCGTGCAATTGGGGATGCACTCACCCACCACTTCCACAGCCTGGTTCCGAAGGGCTCAAGGCCCAGTACTGCCTCCTCTAGTGTGTTCCTGGGTTTGAAAGCTGGACATCTCTGCCCTGGTCTAATGGTATGTGGGAAAGACCTTGGGAGACAGGAGGAGGGAGAGCTGCAGACTGGATAGCTGGTGTGTAACTGGTACCACAGCCCACAAAAGGGGGAGAGTGTGGAAAACATTTCAGAAAGGACCTTCCCTAGTTTTCTAGAGAGTGAAAGGAAAGTATAGAAGAAATACTTTCAGTCTGGTAAAATTCTGTTAATATAACCTTATAATAAAGATAGAGCTAGTACTCCTGTGGGTGTTTCTTGTGTGGACTTCTTCACTGTGGTGACATCTGGACAATCAACACATCTTCTGGAGCTCTATACATTTCTAGGGTCACTTGCACAAACACATAAACACAGTATTACTTACACACCATTCTCACACTCCCCTCTAAGGATTACTAACAGTCAGTAGATAATTTAAAACAGGGGAAACATGGAATCCCATATGGTCACTGTCAGAATTCTGATCAAAACCAAAATTCTCTGCAGCTTTTTAAAAATTAAATGAAGAAATCATGGCAGTTCACCTGCCCGGCTTTCATTTCAAATAGCAGCAGCAATTCTGAATTATCATGTATATAAAGGAATATAAAGTGTTTCATACATCAAACGTAAACTCTTTTTCAAAGAATTTAAATTATAATTCTCATAGACAACAAGTTGCATAATGTGTGCCAGTGCACTGATCCAATTATCTTATAGAATTTAACCTAGATTATGATTACCTCATCCAGAGGTGTGCCTGCAAATTTTGAAGTACAGAAGATTATCCTAACTGCCTAAGGACAACAGTAGCATATTATATTAGCTTGCAAAATATATTGTTTGCAATCTGTCCCCTGGAAAGAAGCTTTACTGAACTAAATGGTGCTTACTTTCTGCTTCTAAAACAAAATTAATTTTAATAAAAGCCCTTGATCTGTTGTAATTCATGTTAATTAAAAACCTGGTCTTTAGATTTAATTAGAAATCCAAATCATCTCACAATTAAACATTACTATTTATTCTGCTAGGTGAACTGAGATCTTCTGATAAAAAAAACTGGTTTCTGTTTAAAATTGTTTTTCTTCATTCTCTCATTTTCTCTTGGTTAGCCTACCATTCATAATATTAAAAAAGGGAAACTTTAAATCCATCTGATAATCCAATTTATTGGCAAAAACAAAAAAACCTATCCATTAGCTTGGTGTTTAAGCAGATGACATCCTCCCTCTGTTGCAGAAAAATAATGTTTACATCAATTCTCATCACAGCTGATGGATTTGAAGGTGGATACTTTTTTGTTGATGTCTTAATAAGCCTTGTGCAATTCTGGTACCAGGAAGAAGGTGATCATAATTGTATCTCTGATTATCCAGAGGAACGTGTTTAGTTTTTTGTTTTTGTTTCTCTCCCCTCCAAGCAACAAGCATTGCATTTTAATTAAGATGTATACAGACCATGGTTATTTTCATATAATCCTTACATATAATGATTGTTTTGATTTAAACAAATCTTTTCCAATTGATGCCCTCCAAACCAAATCAGTTTTAATTCCAATACCCTCTAGCTAGTACAATGGCTACGTTAGTTAGGGATATAGAAATGGAAGAAGCACCAGGTTATATAACTGGATGGCATATAAATTTAATAAAGTATTATATTTTGTAATGGGGGTGGAGGTGATGGCTCAGTGGTTTAAAGACACTAAGCTTGTCAGTTGGAAAGCTGACAGCCTTGGTTCAAGGCCTGAGCGCTGCACGATGGGATGAGCTCCCGTTACTTGCCCCAGCTCCTGCCCACCAAGCATGTTGAAAGCATGCAAATGCAAGTAAATAAATAGGTACCACATCAGCGGGAAGGTAAGAGCGTTCCGTGCACCTTGGCGTATAGTCATGCTGGCCACATAACCACAAAAATGTTTTGGGACAATGCTGACTCCCTCAGCTATGAAATGGAGATAAATATTGATCCCTAGAGTTGGAAATGACTGGGCAAGAGAAACCTTTATCTTTATGTACTGTTATTACTTGTTTCAGGAAATTTTATGAAACATCCATCAGTCTCACCAATGTTGGCTGGGTTAGTTCACATACTGCAATGTCTAAGAATTAAAAAGATGGAAAATTTGTGGGCCTTCAGGTGTTGCTAAATTGCAACTGTCAACATTTCCTAACCTTGGCCATTTTGTCTAAGCCTATTGGGACTTATAACTCCAGCTATAAATTCTGGAGGGCCACAGGTCAGGAAACAGTCAAGGCAAAGAACTATATCCTTTCTTCCAGATGTCTTTCTCTCATAATGCCACATTTGTAAGACCTATGTAGGCAACTCTATATTTTCCCTTAGTCAGAAACTGCTGGTTAATGAACAGATTATCTTCATTATCCTTTACTGGTTGTTCACTTGGCTTCCATCCCTGCCATTCAATGCATTCTGGGTTTTTTGTGCTTCCTGTCCCTTCTCTAGAGGTTATGGGATGTCCTCCAAAATGTTTTGAAAAACAACTACTACAAATGCTCATCGCATGATCAGATGGTGGTATTGAGGGGAATTGTGATTTAAAGAAATGTGGACGATACCAGGTTGACTCGCCCTGTCTTTTTCAAGAAATAAGCTAAAGCAAGCGGGGGGGGGGGGGCCTCTGAGCCTTATTATTTGGGTGCCTCTTTCCTGTTTCTCAACTGTTTCCCAGAATTCACCTAAACAACTTTGAGGCATTTTCATTTGAACCATATTGAGGAAGTTTAAATTCATTCATCTGTATTCCACAGCAAATAATTAATGAACAGTTGAACATTGGGAAGGAGTATTGGAGAAACAAGATTGTATGCTGCCTTGCCCCATTTTCTCAGCCCCTCGGTGGGAGAGCATGCGGCATCTGCTAATTCTCCATGCCTTATTCATGAATGTAGCACTCATTGCTTAATGCTCCAGTTTCTCTTCAGAAGTGCTAAAGGCTTTTCCTGCATGGAGCACATAAAGCCCAAGTCACAGATCAAATGCAATCATGTTCTTAAGGAAACAACAGTACTTTTCATCTGAAACCTATTTTAAAGCATACTCCAGTATATGGGCAAAAGTAAAAAGAGAAGTATAATAATTTAGTTTCATGTTAAGATATTAAAATGTAACGTAATAAACTAAAGAGGATTGGTAAGAGAAACGAGTTAAAAACAAAGCTATGGAGAACATTGTTGACTCGGCTTCTTCACTTAATTTGCAAGCAAATGATTGCCATTGGAAATGGTTGAGTCATATAATTTCCACTCAACAGCAAGGCAGAAATCTGGCTGGCCTGAAAAACTAGTCTGAGAAACACATAGAATTTCAAGCTAAAATGTAATTGTAAACAGATTATTTGGATTCTTGTCAGATTTCAGACATGGGTACGGGACACAAGTTCTTGTAGATGGCTAACAGGACCAGTGATCAAGGACTACCTGTGTATAAATTTAAGAATTGCTGCCTAACTTTACTTTTGTTCCAATCTCTCCTTGTTTCTTTTCTCTTCTATATCACTTTTTAAAAATGCAACTAGACACACTCCTTCCATTCTGCAATTTGAGAAAGGTAATGTGAGAAACAGAGACGGTATGCTGCCGGTTCACACTGGTTCTAGTGATCCAGTAGTGACAGTCAGCAGTTGGCTCCGCCAACCCGCTCCCACCCTTTCCTGTCTTATATTTCCTTTGTTTGTAGTTCAACTGATAGGTGCAGCAGAGTGGATTGCCGTGTCTCATCTGTTTTATTCACCAGTGCTGAAGGTAAGGCAAGTTTTCATGCTTAAAACTCCCCCTTTTAGAACGCCCCACATGCATGTGAAGTGCATGCCCACAGAACCAGTAGTAAAATATTTTGAATTCCACCACTGGTGAGAATCCAATCATTTCCTCCAATGTTTCTCACCTGGCAGATCAATAATAAGCCATCCATCTTCTTCTTCCTCTTTAGAAACAAAAGGCTTAGGTTCCTCAACGACTTCAGCTGTGCTGCTATCACTGAAGAAGAGGCTGGTGAAACGCTGGAACATGGTGGGAAAAGGATTTCTAATATGGACTTTGAAAGAAAAATGGAAGCACGGCTATAGATGCTTGTTTCAGTGTGTGTAGCCAGAAGATGGTGCTTCTGTGGTGTAAATTTGGGGAGAAATTGATGGATGGGTCTTCCAAAAAAAGCAGGAGATGTCTGATACTGGCGTATTTTTCCCCTCTGAAGTCTTATCTGACTTGAGTTCTGTATAGTGCAATCATAAGATTCTTCACTTGGCTTCAGTGCAAAGTCCTGCAAAGAGTAAGGGTGGGGTGAAATGAGAGAGAAGAGAGAAAATAATTTAAATTATCTTTAAAAAAGCAGAAGTGTTTTGAATCACAAGGAACTCAGATGATCCTGAGAAAGAAATTGAATATAATTCCTGCCATGGATCATAAATTTAATTTGCTCTGATTATGACCTTTTCCTGATGTCTTTTAATTTCATCTCTGCAAGGTAGCCTTCCTTCTTACTCTTACTGAAAACATTTCTTCAGTGCTGATTCAGCTCTTTGAAAATCCCCTCGGTCTTGGGGAAGGACTTTTCCTACCAAGGTTGAAAAAAGTTGAAAAACACTGATCTAGATTTGATGAAGATTGGTAGAAAACTAATGCAGAGAATTTTGTGGTACAGCAATCATTTAAATTTACAGTTTCTTTTACTATTCCATTAACTTCCTCCCAGCCAAACTTAAAAAATCAGTATTATTTCCATGCTTGTTATCCTCACAGCAACCTTGAGAGAATTTATGCCAACAATCCTTACAGCAACCCTGGGATTACAACTGATAGGTCACTTCCTCTGCTGAAGAGAGATTTGAAAACAGAAGTCCAGCATTCTTAATTGCTATTCTGAATTGGCTCTAAAGTTATTCCACCCTTAGTAAATAAAGCAAAAAGCTTGCTTCTTTCCATCTTTTCAAGTACTTGAATGCAAGCAATGCATTCATCCAACCTGATGGAAGAACATCAAGAGCTGGTTCCCCTCTTAGCTACTAAAGAAGGAGGGATCATAACTCTGTTGCCATTTCATGGCAGGAACATTTGCAATTGTTTGCTAGAAACGTTTTTTACACTGGTACCATTAAACCAGTTTTGAATCAAAATCCAGGAATTCACTTGGTAGAGCACTCTCAGATACTGCCAAGTTTCAATTCCACTTCCAAACTAAATGTAGTAAAGATTCTGAATTAGCAATTTTACTTCTTACCTCGGTTGTAATTTACATGAAAGCTGGAACGTGACTGATTAAACTGTCTGCTATTGACCTCACCCCTTTCGTAAGAGGTCTGTAGGGGGCGTGCATAAGCGCACCAACGTGCCTACTGTTCCTGTCCTATTGTTTCTTTTATTTTTCTTATATGTACCCATTTCATGTATTCATAACTATGTATATACTTATACGTATTGTCTTGTAAGCAATTGACAAATCAAATCAATAAATAAATAAATAAAAACAAGGATAGAGAAAGTTCAAATAGCATTCTTCAAAATAAAAAAGGTCTTCTGCAGTCATGACATAAGCCTAAGATTGAAAATCAGGCTTGTCAGATGCTACATCTTTTCTATCCTGCTCTACACAGTGGAGAGTTGGTCTCTGACAGAAAGTCACTTAAAGAGAGTAGAAGCATTTGAAATGTAGATTTAAAATCCAGGCACTAATATTGACTATGCAAAAGTTTTTTGTTTTTTTTTAAATCAGCCTATCAGTTCAGTGTAACACATCTTCAGAAGCATTTTTATAGATTATAATTATCCAAATCAGGTTTTCTGACTTTAGCTCAATCAAATTATCTTTGTCAAATATTTGCCTAGTAGTAAAATGATTTTTTATTTTAAAAACACAGATCCCTACAGGATTATAATGTTCTTCAAATTGTAGTAAGGATGGAAGAAATATGTTTAGTTTACTCTTGAATACAAGCCTTTTTAGTTCCCTATTTTTTTAGCTGATACACAACCTAATTTTTTTCCAAATCATCCCAAATTTCTTTATAATTGTCAGTGCAGTTCATTATCTATATTTAAAATATACATTCGGGGGGGATGGACCTTTAAAAAATATGATGGGAAATTGCTTGAAAAAGCTAAATAGAGAAATTTGCATTTAAAGTACAAATTTTAGTCTGGATTTACAGTATTAAAAATTCTTAATGAATCACACTTACTGTACTTACAGAAACAAGAAATTGGAAAAAAAAAAACTGAAATAGACAGAATGGCTAAGTCATTAGACAGGGAGAAAAAAAATCAGCCTACTGACTGTATAGCCAGAACTTATACATCAATTGGCACTGTTTAGAGCAGGGGTATCAAACTCAAAGCCCATGGGCCACATCCGGCCTACAGGTTGCTTAGATCTGGCCCGCGGGGCCATCCTGGAAACAGCGAAGGACCAGAGTGCCTCTGCCAGTGAAAACAGAGCTCTGAGGGGCCACATGTGGCACTCCAGGGCTCCGTTTTTGGCCACAACGGCCTCCTGCAGCCCTTTGCCAGTGCCCCCCCTCCAGGCTCCATTTTTGCTGGCTAGCAAAACAAACTAAAAACAATACAAAAGGAGAAATGTTTCCCCTTTTGCATTTGAGCATTCAAGAAGGGACAGGAAAGGAGAAAGGAGAAGAGGAAAAACACAGAAAAAGAAGGGAAGATGGGAAGAGAGCAAGAAAGGAAAAAGAAGGAAAGAGGGGAAGGAAGAAGGAAGGAGAATGAAGAGGGAAGGAAAAAGAAGAAAAGGAAGGAAGGAAGGAGATTATAATGAGAGGGAGGGAGGGTCTGAGGGAAGTCCTGTCGCATTTGGCAACCACAGGTGCGCCCCTCACAAATTATGTTGAGTTGGCCACACCCCATGGCTTTACACATTCCTGAGGTCAAACACACCCCTGATGCAGCCCTCAATGAAATCCAGTTTGACACCCCTGGTCTAGAGCAATTTTCTAGAAACATGAGGGCGGGAGCAATTTAAAAAAACACTTGAAGGAAGAAGTCTATAAATACAGTTTGAAGAGTGTGTGTGTGTGTGTGTGTGTGTGTGTGTGTGTGGTATGTATGTGAATGTATATAATGCAATGTAGAAGTACTTCAAAAGTTCAGCTTTAATAATGCAAATCTCACGATTGACATTGTTAATAGTGAGATTTGTTAATAGTTGCTTAGATACCAGAAAGAACTTCATCTGTTCTAAACGCTTTAACAGACATTGCACAAAGGAGGGGTATGTGCTACATGGTTCCTATTCTACCTTGTAACTGCATGGTTTTATGATATGGTGGGTCTGCACCAGAAACAGTGGAAATGTTGTGGCCAAAAAGGATTACACAATGTAATCCTTTGGATATTTATCTCAAGCCTGAAGACCCAAGGAAAGGGTAGAAAAAGCATATCGCAGGACATTATACGTAGCCTAACAGTATATATTTTGCATTTCTATTTCTTTCCCTCAAAGTTGGTTCCCCCATCAAAAAAAAACCCCAAACCATCATTTGTCTGAATGTATCCATTTGAGGTTTGGGGCTGATTAAGAACCCAAAAGAGGAACTTAACCTTTGTAAAAACAAACTATCTAAATCTCCTTGGGCTCCAGTTCTAACTACTTACACAGTAAATGCCACACAAAGCCTGCGGATGACCTTTCAACCAACCGGAATTGTGCCTTTCTAGGATCAGAAAGTAAGACTTTGGAGAAAGGAGGCTCTTCCACCTCTCTGAGGCTACATCCATTATTAGTCTCGAACTTCTAGTTTCCACTGGTAAAAGGCTTATTATTCTGTTTAATCAGGATTATATACTCAGTACTAAATCCCATTGAATAGGACACTCTGGCAAGCAGGATAGGATTGTTGTCTCAATCTGGTTCTCTCATATCCCATTCTTCTCCAATGTTGGGTCCTGCAGATGTTTCTGATTGCAGTTATTATTTTGGTAGATTAGAATTCCATAACTACACTTAACTTAGCGCAAAGAATGCATATCTCACCCAGTTAGAAGATGCAATGATATAGAACTTTTCCTAGAGGGAATTCTGAAGTGAAGAGTTTAGGAAATTCTGGGTCAGAACTGATAGGATGTGATTTCCCAGCCAAAAATGTTCTTCATGTACTCTAGAAGTAGTTCAAATGAGTGAATATATGGATGAAATCTTACAGAAAGGAGACTTTTCCCCAGAGTTACCTCCACCATTTCTGCTGTCTACAGAAGGCCCACTTGATTTATCCCAATGTGTCTATCCAGTTAAATTTGCACAAAAAGATGGCTTCACTCAGCAACAGATGATTGCCTGTCTTTCCTTCATGATGACATTTGTTCTATCCCAAGCCTATTGTTCATTGTCTTCTGGGACCTATCCATGGCAAGGTTGACTTGAAGCAATTACCTAAGGAGGGAACTTCAGTGGAAGCCATTATGATGCCAGCAAGCCTATATCTAAGCTGACACCAGTGAATGAATCCAATAAGAGTAAACACCACAGGATATAGGTCCCAGAAGACAATGAACAGGAATCATTTATCTGACATGTTTATGAAGTAAGTATACTGGCACTAACTCTTATCTCCAATCTTATGTTTTGTTTACTCTTAAGAACAAAGCCCACTTATTTCAACAGACTTCCAAGAAGAACATTCCTAATCATATAAACATTCCTTCCTGCTGTGAGATGGGCATTGGGCAGACATATAAGTTATTTAAACAAACAAATAAAATAAGCAAATACTTATCTACAGTGCTTCTATCAGATTCCTATTCCAGTAAACATGTTTAAGATCACACTATTGGTTTGCAAAACCTATTTCCTATGTGGTCAATGGAGCATGAGTACCCATTCTTTATTATGTATAGTGGAGGTCTTGTATGCTTCAGGCTCAGAAAAACCTGGATTATATTTCTGAGCAGATAGTAAGCTTATTCAATACAGCTTTAGTCAGATACATTTAGAATCTGGCCTGACCATTAAGTAGAATGAAGTAGCTGTCTCGGGCAGCCAATTGGGTAGCATCATATTGCTTAGTAAATATTATTATACTGCCTGGACTGGAGGTGGGGAATGTGCTAGTGGATGTACTAGCCTTACATGTTAAAATAACCATGTTGACTCAGAGCCATGGCCTTTGGTGCTTCAGAAGACGCAAGCAAAAGTCTTTCCAGCCTCGTTGATGGAAAAAAAAGAAAGCATTTCTGTCATAGGACTGTTGTTCTGGAAAAAGTATTAGTAGCACTAATATGTATTATAGTGCTAGCACAGTATTCTTCGTTTGAAAA